GAACAATTCAACTAGAAAAATTGAAAATAAATCCAATGTATCTAAATACAAAAATATGTCATAATAGATCATTTCATCTTAAATAAATCGATAATGTTTAGCGGCATTTTTAACATCAACTTGAGATTTTTCTTCTTAAAAAGTTGAATAATTCTAACACATTCAAAATTCTGGATAAAAAATAATGAATTTTATATTGAGCTTTTTTCAAGACTGAGCAAAAGAAATTTACGGAATTGGACGAAAAAAAGACCTCAGAATGATGTCAAAATCTGCGGAAATTGTTCGTTCTTTTACGGTTTAATAGCGCTTAGCTAAATTAATAATGCTTAATTAATTAATTAATTAATAGTACTTAGCTTAATGCAACGTATATAAATGTCGGTAGAAAAAGTCAGAAATAGGCAAATGTTGATAAAATACCGAAGGTTTCAAAGCACTTGTCTAGGACCCCCCAATCAGAGTTGCCCGCCGGTCGTAGAATTTCGGGGTAGTATGCACTGGGCCCTGTATGAAAGGAAGAAAAGGATGTAAGAAGTGCAGATTATGAGTATATCTAATCTTCTTTCTTACTAATGGAACATAAAGGGAATGAGGATTTCTTTCAGTCTACATGTCATGGCGGGTCTTAGATGTAAAGGTCTGAACTGGTGGAATTAAGGAATTTAGCTTGTGTGAATGTTTGCCATAGAAATAGCAACAGAGTAGTGAAAGGCTTTCAATGTTTCATCTGCAGTTGTAGAGTGGAAAATACTCATTCACAGGGCTGTGTACATGTATTTGAACTAACATTTTTGATGGGTACTATTTTAGGGAATAAATCATTTTTATATGCTGGGGTGAGGTATATTTGATATGCGACATGATTGTTTATAAAAGGCAAAGGCATTTTTTTTTGGTTGGTTGGTTGTCATGCTAAAGAGTTATCACTGTCCTGATTTGAACCTTCAAACTCGAGATGCAAAGTCAAGTGACATGAAATACCAAAACAGTTCACTGTTGCTGAAACTGGTAGATAAAATTACATTTGGAAGACTAATTTTATCAGAACTTTAATTTTCATACACTTTTCATGTTAGCAATATTAGTAGAGGTAATCATTTCACCCCAATCAAGGTGATAAAGCCACTAAGGGGATCCTGAGAATGAAAGAAACCAAGTAAGCATTTCTGAGGAGAAAAGTTCAATAAAAAGAACTGCATTCAAAAAGGCAAGATGATGATTGATGTTAAATATAATTTTTTGAAGATTGTAGCTGACAGGAAATCAAGAAGCTGGAAGAGAGTTCCACAAGCATGAAGTACTAGAGAAGCAACTGTTAGCATTGAAATTATTGTTGCATAAGCCATTCCAACTGTAAAATGAGGAGACCTAGCTGCCAATCTAGTACTGCACTTAAATTCAATGTACCAAAGAGGAAAATTCATTAGAACAATTACTATGAAAATATTTATAGAAAAGGCACAGGGAAGCTATGTTATTGTGGTGGGAAAGCGAAGTTAAGCTGCCAGGTCAGAACATAATATTGCAGATTCTTTGGATTTTATGAAGAATCTCTAAATACATAGTGGAAGCATTAGACCAGATATGAGAGCAATATTCAATGCATGAATGAATGTGTAAATAGCTTCTGGCAAGAAAGATCATGCACATATTTATGTCCTCAATCAGCTTTGAAGAATGAATTTATTTCTTTATAAAAAGATAAATAATAAATACTTCATTATAGTTGGTTCACATATTTTTTATAATCTTGTCAATATAAAATTATTCTTGTAAAGAAGCAATCTAACAAATAAATAAGGTGTAATATTTTGACGCCAATTCTCATGAAGAATGTATAAATTCATTTTTATGTGTTTGGGTTTTATTAAAATTCTAATCATCTTTTTTAAAATGAACATTGCAGATGGTATTAACCTTTAATACATTGCATTATTTGCTACTTTTCTTTCCACTGAATTGTTTTTCAAGGCTCCTCTACTGCACTACTTAATTTCAGTCATGGTCATTTTCTGTTGCCATAGCAGGATATGACAACACAATTACAAAATTCAAACACACTATCATTTATTCATCTGAATCACTTGCAATGACAGGATAAAATTTTTGCTTTGCAAACAAAATCACTTCCAGGTTAACAGTAAAAATATAGAATGAATTGTTCTTAGTAAAATAGATAGCACAAGCAGTGTGCTATGTATTGGGGATCTGAAAAGTAAGCAGGTGGAAATGACTCCCAAGAGGATGCTTCCCCAATCCTTGCAATCTTAACCTGTTCAAGTATAAGGTTAACCATTATTTTCCATACATATCTACATAAACTGTGCTTCTTACTCTGTAATCCTCTACCTCAAATGGCTCTTGGGCCTCATTGAACATTATTGTAAAAAAAAAATGTAGTAAACTTTGTAACAGACAACAGAAAGAATGAGACAAAAATCCAAAGGTGACTAGGAATAACCAAAAATGCCTTTAAGAAACTTGGCAAAGAATTAAGAAAACGTTTAATTTTACAAACAAAATTTGATACGTTTATATCTCTTAACCTTTAACATACTGCAATATTTGCTACTTTCCTTCCCACTGCATTGTTTTTCAAGTCTTCTCTACTGCACTACTTCATTTCAGTCATGGTCATTTTCTGTTGCCATAGCAGGATATGACAACACAACTACAAAATTCAAACACACTATCATTTATTCATCTGAATCACTTGCAATGACAGGATAAAATTTTTGCTTTGCAAACAAAATCACTTCCAGAATGTTAAAGGTTAACAGTAAAAAAAGATAGAATGAATTGTTCTTAGTAAAAGAGATAGCCCAAGCAGCGTGCTATGTATTGGGGATCTGAAAAGTAAGCAGGTTTTAGAGAAATAGGACAGCTGATAACTTTTCAGCACTCCCTTAAATTAAATGAATTGGTGGGATTAAGGAATTTAGTTCATCTGAACGGTTGTCATAGAAATATCGACATTGTGTTTTTGATGAATTTTCTCGTCATATTACTATTAAACTTTTTAGCCATCAATTTGGCTTTTTTTACAAACATGCCAAACATGCGATGCTCTACGGATATAAAAAAAAAGGTAATAATGTTGCTGAAGTAACCGAGAATACTCATTATTGTTTACAATGTATATTCTTGAAATGAAAGAAATTCATGATAACCTTTCGAAAGTTATGACACTTGATAAATACTACACGACCAGGTTGTCGTGATGGGTTTAACGTTGTTCTATTTACTTTTCAAATCGGGAGTGTGATGTTATAGGTTGAGAATTGATTAAAATATTAGCGGAGACAATGACCTATTGGATAATAGTGTTGGTTTGTGAATTTGGTGACAGTGGTTGTGATTTCAATCCCTAGGTCGGGCAGTGTGTACTTGCACTCAGTGGGAACCAACAAGCAATAACAGAACAGTGCTAAATTAAAGATAAGAACTAGACATAAACAGTGGAACGAGGAGTCTAAACTCGTAAATGAAATAAAAGGGTTCAGTTCAGTATTCCCTGCAAGTCACTCAGATCGATATAAACCTGAGGAAGGCCGGAGGGGACAACGCCCGAAACGGAATAACAACAACAAAGATGAAGACAATAGCCTAATAATATATCCAAATATAAATAGTATAAATAATGATAACTCCTCATCCTAGAAATTCACACACACACACACACACACACACACACACACACACACACACACACACACACACACACACAATTAAGTGATCATTTTTTAAACTATAATGAAGTCATTTGCTTTGTCCGCAGACTTTATTCCTATAGAAAATGTTTAATGTTTGAGTTGAGTAGAAAAGACCAATCGAGGAGGAAAATGTTTTTCTGTCTTATTCTTGCTGTATGCAACCTTGTCACAGAGGTCATCATGTTCATAGTGACGAGCACAGAGCTTTTTTCGACCATACTTTTCTGGACGCGTTCCAGCTGCTGGATATATAAGTGTGCATTTAGTAGTACATTGCATTTTAAGAATTCTAAATAAATTATTTACACTATTTATATTCAGACTATTGTCCTAATCTTTGTTGTTGTTAAAAACGATGGTTTGTGAATTTGGTGACATAGTGGTTGTGAGTTCAATCCCTAGGTCGGGCAGGGTGTACTTGCATTCAGTGTGAACCGACGAGCAATAACTGAACAGTGCTAAATTAAAGATAAGAACTAGACATAAACAGTGGAACGAGAAGAATCTACATCCGTAGAATAAATAAAAGGGTTCAGTTCAAAATTCACTGTACGTTAACCAGATCGATATACATTGTAGGAAAGGCGGGGGGGGGGGACAATGGCCAAAACGTTGTTGTAACAACAACAAAGATGAGGAGATTAGTCTGAATATAAATACTGTAAATAATGAATTGAAGCTATTCAACGGTTCACTGTCATCTGCTATAATTAGAAAAATGCCCAAACTTGGCAAACGAATTCCTCATAATTTGATTAAAGCCAACTGTAAAGTGTAGGCATCTACACTTCTTGACACTGCAAGTGAAAGAATTTACCAATTTTTGGTTGTGAATGATAATGGAATTGGTTATTTTACAAGAAGATAAAATGAGGTAGCGAGTACAATGTGAAGTTTCGGTGCAACTATTTAAACTCTCCACCTTCGGCCATTGCATCTCCTCAGACACTCAGTCTATGGCTATCAGTAAACAAGTAGTGATATTATGTTGAATTTTTATTAGATGAAGCATTGTCAGCCATTATTAATTTTTGACTAGTATTTCTTTCATCTTCATTTTACTTGCTTTTCATTGCATCTCCTCAAACCTTCAGTCTATGGCCATCAGTAAATAAGTAGTAATATTATCTTGAATTTTTATTAGATTGGGAATTATCAGGCATTATTAATTTTTGACTAGTATTTCTTTTATCTTCAGTCATGACTGCTCATCCATTCTTCATGGTAGTCTGTGTAGATTTGTTTTTAATTTTCCAGAACTGCCTCCGCTTTTTTCTTTCGTAAATGATATTTTGGGGCTATCTATCTATCTATCTATCTATCTATCTATCTATCTATCTATCTATCTATCTATCACAGTCTTTTTGTATCTATCTATCTATCTATCTATCTATCTATCTATCTATCTATCATCTTTCTATCTTCTATTCATCTATCTATCTATCTATCTATCTATCTATCTATCTATCTATCTATCTATCAGTCTTTTCTAATCTATCTATCTATCTAGCTATCACAGTCTTTTCATATATATCTATCTATCTATCTATCTATCTATCTATCTATATCTATCTATCTATCTATCACAGTCTTTTCTATCTATCTATCTATCTATCTATCTATCTATCTATCACAGTCTTTTCGTATCTATCTATCTATCTATCTATCACAGTCTTTTCGCATCTATCTATCACAGTCTTTTCATATCTATCTATCTATCTATCTATCTATCTATCTATCTATCTATCTATCTATCACAGTCTTTTCATATCTATCTATCTATCTATCTATCTATCTATCTATCTATCTATCTATCTATCTATCACAGTCTTTTCGTATCTATCTATCACAGTCTTTTCATATCTATCTATCTATCTATCTATCTATCTGAATAAGCAAGTAAACTCAAGGAAAAGATTCCGTTCTAATCAAACATGTCTGAATTGAGCAGAAACGGAATCTTCTCCCCTGTTAATTTTATTTTAATATGACTTATTCTAAATTATGAAATCGTTTAATTAACTTTTCAGGTAAGAAGCAGAGATTCTATTAACAAAGAAATCTCGTCTGTGCGATTTCGGGATAAACTGTCGAACATGGAGGAGGCAAAAATGGAAACCCGAACGGAAGGAAGAAATAAAAGAATGAATTGTCATCTCCTTAAACGGGAGTAACGACGTTCTGCTGCCTTCACCGACACCCCCCACCCAGCTGCCTACCCCAATTTTTCGGTAATTAGAAGGTGAGACGAGAAGATAGTCGTTGCCGGACACGTGTCTCAGCTCACAACTGCCTTTCCGTTTCTCTGCCCGGAGCTATGCGGAAGCGACTGACACGTGTGTAAAGATCTGCCTCGGTTCATCTTAACACTCACTCTCTTTCTCTATTTGACTCTCTCACACACACACTCTCTCTCTCTCTCTCTCTCTCTCTCTCTCTGTGCGTGTGTGTGCGTGAGAGAGAGAGAGAGAGTAAAACAGAGAGTGAGGTGATAGAAAGACATAGCTCAATTGATTAAGTGGAAACTAGAGAGAGAGAGAGAGAGAGAGAGAGAGAGAGAGAGAGAGAGAGAGATGTTGATAGATGATGACAAAAGAAGCGAGAATTTTAGTAAAATGCAGAAAAAAGATGATAAAATGTCGATATAAAATAAATGTATTTTTTGTCTTATTATTATTATTATTTTTGTATGTTGTGTTTTACGATTTTTCTATTTTACTTTAAGGATTAAAAAAAAGAAGCTTTTTTTCGCTGGTTGTTTTGTTTGACGTTTCATTGAAAAAAAAGAAAATTAAAAACACACACACACACACACACATATCGATATCATATTTGTTATTTCTTTCTTTTTTCTTTCTTCTACCTGACTTCATAATGCAATTTCTTATATAATTAACACTTATTTTCTTTCCTTCTTTTTTTTCCTTCATCTTTTTAATTAGTCTTTACTTTTCTTCAATTCGTCATTCTTTCTTTTTCACTTTTTCTGTTTTTCTTCATTTCTTTACGTCTCTATTTCTTTCTTTTTTCTTTTCTTTCTCTTCAATTTGTCTTTCTTTTCTTCATTTCTTTACGTCCCTCTTTCTTTTCCTTTTTTCTCTCTTTTCAATTTTTCCTTCTATTCACTTCATTTTTCTTTCTGTTTTTTTTTGCAGTGCCTGTGTTTCTTTCTTTTTACCTTTCTTTTTTTGCCTTTTTTTCTATTCATTTAAATATTTTATTCTTCTCTTTTCAATTCTTCTTTCTTTCGCTTCATTTTTCTTTTTGCAATTCCTCTTTTTCTCAACACATCCGTTCTTTGTTTTCTTTTTTTCTTTCTTTTCTTTCTTTTGTTTGTTTGCTTCTTTGTTTCGTGGTTCTTTCTTTCTTTCTTTCTTTCTTTCTTTCTTTCTTCGTTTGTTTGCTTCTTTGTTTCGTGGTTCTTTCTTTCTTTCTTTCTTTCTTTCTTTCTTTCTTTCTTTCTTTCTTTCCACTCCATTTTTCACTCTTTCTGTATTCTTTCACTTCAAATCTTTTTCTTTCTTTTCACTTTGATTTTCTTTTTGATTGTCATTGTGCCTTTGTAGCTTTCTTTCTTTTCAATTTCTCTCTCTTCTCAGATTCATTTTTCCTTTTCTCGTCTTTTTGTTTAACTCATTTTTCTTTTCTTTGTTTCTTTCTTTTTCTTTCTCTTCACTTCATTTTTCTCTTTTTAATATTGTTTCCACTTTATTGTCATTTTTCCATTTTTTTTCTCTCTCTTTTTATCCTGATTTTCTTTTCACCTTTTTAAAACTTTCTTCCCTATTCTGTTCATTTTTTTGTTACCCGTTCATATCCCCCGTCTCTGTCCATGCATCCCCCCCTTTTCTTGCCTCAATCCTAAAAGCTCTCTAATCTACCAAGCAAGAACCAGCATCACCGAATACACTGTAAATCATCTAATCACCAAAGAACCAGTTCTTCACTCACCCAGGCGGTCAGACACAGAGACTTCAAGACAGACTCGTCCGCTTATAATACTTGCTTCTCCGTGGGTGGGTCTCTGTTAAACGCAAAATGTGAATCGGTTCGGTGCCCCAGGGAAACACTTTGTCTTTTATTATTAGTAGTATTTCATAAGGCGAGAAAATCGGCACCCTGGTGTTTAGGGTCATTGTCATCGCCAAGGGAAGTGTGGACAATCGACTCATCAAGGCTTATTTTATTTTATTTCTTTACTATTTGTCTTTAACGAGAGAAATAGATCTTGCGATTATATTGTCACCTCCGGTGCCGAAAGAGTGATCAAGCAACGGGAAGTAATGCGGTTGAGGTGGCGTAGACTCACTCTTGGTTATTTGAGGATGCACTACTTTGTGTGCCTGTGTGTATGTGCGTGAGTGAGTGATTGTGTATATGTATGTGTGTGTGTGTGTGGGGGGGGTCTGTAATTAATCTCTACTGGTAATGGTAATATTAGCCGTATCCTTACAAAGAAACATTTGGCATTTACTGACCGAGCAGCCAGTGCTGCTGTAGATTAAAATTTACAAAATCTTTCTATTAAAATTATTTTTTCAGGAAAACAGGTTTCTTAGATCCACAAATTGTATCGCTCTTGCCTTCCTAGCCTTTTGCTTGAAGTGGTGTTGAATGTCAACAACAATCATTATTCTTTCTTTCACTTACATACGCCATCCATTTTGTTTGTTACTGTTGAAAGTTCTCAAGTGATGTGATTTCGGTTATTTGGTACAGTTCTTTGTGTGTGATTCTGTAGCGTCAATCCATGAGGTTCGAAGAAAGATAGCCGTCTTACTTGCTTCATTTGCTTGAGGACATTTTAAACCATCTATCTGATAAAGCGGTTGAGAATCTAAATATTTCTGGTGTAAAGCATGGCACCCATATAAATGTTTCGATTCAATGAGACTATTTAAGAACATGACTCGTGTATTTAGATTAATGTTTTGGTTTTGTAGCAACTTGAGGTGTTGTGGGAAACTACCCCAAGCGCAGCTTATTCAGTTTCCTTATTTCCTATACTAAATTTGTTTTAACTGATCCGTACACTGAAATACGTATTTGAAGTGTTTAGTATTAACGTATATCCATTAGGTCATTTTGGGACCGTTGACTTGCACTCAATTTGAAAGTTGGGGTTTGACATATTAAATAACAACACAAAATAATTTTTCCGGATCCTTACCGTTTTTTGAGGAAACTAGTTTGAAGATTACGTTTAGGTTCAAAATCGTCGCGTTGCAATTTCATTCCAGTGACTAGTGAAAGCCTTATAGTACAGTCTTATAAAAGTTATGATTTAATGAAGCTTTACAAATTATATATGGACAAGATGTATGGCATAAGGACATTATTACTAAATCATTGTGCTATCAAATAAGACCTTCATTTATTTTAAAGAGAAATTATATTAAACAATATAGCTATATTATGGTGTAGCTTTTACACAGTTTTTATTTATCGAATACAATAAAATTAAAGCCCAATTATCTTCCAAGGCACGATTCGTATGAACCAGGTCACCGATTAATTGAGGCAGTTGTTTATTTGTACTGAATCTTTAGAAAAGAAATAAAACAAATCCAATGCATTTATGAATAATAATTCTCTTTGCTTATTTCCAGATTGATTACAATGTTAACTTCTCAGAGAAAATAAAATTGACGTACCAAAACAATAGGGTAGGTCGATTTTGGAAGAATGGTTTGCACTCAATTTAAATGCCGGGAGTTTAACATGATAAATAATGATACAAAATATTTTTTCCAAAACATTATCTTTTTTTTTTTGAAGAAACGAGTTTTAAGATTTTAGGTTCAAAATCGTCGTCATTGTGCCATCAAAGACTTTTATTTATTTTAAAAGGAAATTATACTGAACAATTTAACTGTATTTTGATGTAATATGTCATACAGTGCAGTAGTTTTAGTGTGATTTTCAATAAACAATGCAAATTTGAAACATTTTGTCTTATAATTTGTACCAAGCAGTATTATAATGTTATGTACACTTTTATCTATTTTTTGTTTTTATTAATTATAATCTAACAAATGATCCAACAACTCTTTTTCATTAAGTAGCTCTTTATAATCTTTTACATTTTTAACAGTTTTTACTTATCGAATACAGTAAAGAATATTTGCATATTTTGCTTGTGGTGATTCGTAATTCGAATTCTGGTTTGAATATATTTTCCATTCAATGGATCTAATACAAAAAATATCAACTTTATTTAGATTTTTTCTTGAAATAGTAAAATTTTGAAGTCAGTTCGTAAGCTAAAAACTGCAGAAATTAGATATTTCTGTATATGTTTCAGATGATTTTGAAAGTAAATGCTCAAAAATTGGTAAAAGCTATAAATCTAATTTTTGTGTGACTACTTATCGTATCAAATCCCAACTTTCAAACTGAGTTCAATGTTGATTTTCTCAAGAAAGTGAATAACGCGGGTATATATTTTGGCGTGACGTCTTTTGGTACTCGACACTAATAACGGATTGTTTAATTCTATGAAGCAATTGTCATCGAGTTCAGGCATCACTTTAAGACAAGTTTCCTTCAGACATACAAAGAAGCTTACCCTAGGGTGGTTCAAGGCAGTTGAACAAAGCTGAAAATTGTTTACGCGTTCTGGGGGGGGGGCTTATTCTCCCCTCTGAAGTCTCTTTCCCCCACGGACGTAACGTTTCAAGCCTGTCGCTATTTCCATGGCTAATCTTCAGATAAGCTTCATCGTTTGGTTCCACCTTTTCTGCTAAAGCAATCTCTGCCTTTTCCACGGAGCCGAATCATCCTCATTTCCCAAGAATTACTACTTTAGGGAAAAGATTCAAGCATGTATATTTTACTAAACGCTACATTCTTAACCACTTAAGTCAAGGGCCATTTTTTATATACCCTAACTTCATTTCCTAACAATTCTTTTATTCATATCACATACATTATTAATCCTTATCATTATAAACTGAACTTTAAGTGGCTCTTGAGCCTTATATTGTGTGATTTTTGGTTTAAAAGAATCGCTATCAACAATTAGTATTTTTAGTTCGATAATCGCCACCCACGCAGAACATGTCTAGCTATTTTGAATATGTCAAGAACTGGTTGCGCAGCCTTAACGTGACTTGGTAACGAATTAGAGGGGACGGTGTTGCGCATGCATGGGCAGATATTCGCTTATAGAGTTATTAATTCGGAAGCGCGGAACCAAAGCGTGAGCTCGTGACCGTCGTTTTTAACGACCAAACGAGCAGATTTTTCTTGTTTTCTCTGGGACGTTTTTATTTATTTATTTTTGTGAAACATCTCATCACACAGGTTTTGTAAGCCACCCGCTACAGTCCAGATTTCTTTTCCCAAAATTTAAACCGCAGTTGAAAGACCGTGGTCGAAATTAAGGAGATCGTGACAAATCAGCTGATGTTGATCCCAAAATCGGACTTAGAAGATAACTAAGGAACCATTGTCCTAGTTAGGTTGTTTTTTTTTCCATTAACTCTTTACATTATTTACACGCATTCTACTCTTTTGATTTTTGTTGTTGTTATTATCACAATGTTTCGACCGTTGTGCCTTCCAGTCTTCTTCAGGTCTATATCGATCTAAGTAACCGACGGGGAATTCCGAACTGAATACTTTATTTAATCTATGTCTCGTCTAGTTCTTATTTAGTACTGTTCAGTAATTATCCGCCCTGATTCCGATGAGTTCAACTACATGCTGCCTGGCCAAGGAATTGAACTCACGATTACTATGTCATCAAATTCACGAACTAACGTTTTAACCACTGGGCTATCTTGTGTCATTTTGTTTTTAATCATTTCACCCCAAGCAAAGCAATAAAGCCACTAAGATGCAAGGGAGTTCCACAAGCGAGAAGTGCGATAGAAAAAAGTGTTAGCAACGATTACATCTGGCCATTTTAACTGCAAAGTGATGAGACCTTGCAGCCAATCTAATACTGTGTTTAAATTCATAGAGTTCAGGTAACACAGGGGAAAGTGATATTTATTCTGTTTAATACAGAAATGTGGCACATGGCCGAAAGGGGGGGGATTGGGGAAAGGACGGTCTTCTTCTGTCTTAACTATAACTTAGCTAGCCGCAAACACTGACTCAATCGTACGAAACAATATTCCTTACACCAAAACAACACATTCATATGTACCTTTCTTACTACAACCACCGTAATACCTCTTTGTCTCTATGAAAATACTAACTAGTCCCCATATTTACAATTCATTGTCTGTGGGGGTGGGGAGGGGAATAAAACAACAATTCTAAAAACTAGCCCCAATATACACAGGGGAAAGTTCATCAGAACAATTACTATAAAAGGATTTATAGAAAAGACACAGGGAAGCTATATTATGGGGGTGGGAAATGAGAGTGAAGGCGAGATGCCAGGTTAGGACCAATAACATTGCAGATTCTTCTTTGGATTTCATCAAGAATCTTAGGAGAACAAGACCAGTTTGGGTAGCAATTAGGCAAGAACAAATGGTAGACTTATAAATATGTAAGATATGTAAGTCTGGCAAGAACAATTGTCTAGCATGAGATAGTAAACCAACTTCCTTAACTGCAGACTTAGCAATTGATTCAATATACTCTTTCCACTTCATGCTTTCTCTTGGTGGTTAGCATCAGTCATACTGATGGACGGGTTCTCTCAGATGATTAAATGAACAAGATATTTCTTTAGATTGTAGGTCATTTTTGAGATCAGCTCTATATAGTGAACCAACTTTCCTGGTTGCAGACTTAGCAATTGATTCAATATATAATGGGTATTTGGTTCCCTGTATAGGGCTGATCTAAAAAATGACCTACAATCTAAAGAAATATCTTGTTCATTTTAACGCCCCCAAAAAGAAACTGCTCTTTTT